TTTGTATGTGGAGATGGGAATCACTGTGGCTTGTTGGTCATGAGCCCAGCTTTAGGTTCAGTGAGTGAGAGACCTGTCTCAGAGGAATATGAAGACTGATGGACCAAGAGACCTGATGTATTAGTTTTTGTCATTGTTGTTATGATAAATAAAACACCATGACTAGAAACAACTTGAGGAAGAAAGGGTGTCTTAGGGTTTCTATTGCTGTGAAGAGATACCATGGCCATGGCAAAAATTTTTGGGGGGCAGGGGAGGAGGAGGGGGAGGTTTCCAGGAAGGGTTTCTCTGTGGCTTTGGAGGCTGTCCTGGAACTAGCTCTTGTAGATCAGGCTGGTCTCGAACTCACAGAGATCTGCCTGCCTCCCTAGTGCTGGGATTAAAGGCGTGAGCCACCACTGCCCAGCCAGCCATAGCAATTCTTATAAAGGAGAACATTTAATTGGATGACTCACTTATATTTTCAGAGGCTTGGTCCATTATCATGGTAGAGCATGTGGTATGCAGACAGATAGGGTGCTGGAGAAAGGAGCTGAGAGTTCTACATCTTGATCCACTGGCAACTGTGTCACTGAGTGTAGTTTGAGCATAGGAGACCTCAAAGTCCCTCCCAAAGTGACTCATTTCCTCCAACAAAACCACACCTCATAGTAGTACCACTCTGTTTGGCTTGCCCAATTTGTTTTCTAGTACATCCTAGGACCACCTGTTCATGGATGGTACCATTCATAATGGACTGAGCCCCCCATATCAATTATTAATCCAGATAGTGCTTCACAGGGCAGTCTGATGGAGGCAGTTCCTCACCAGAGGCTCCCTCTTCCCACATGACTCTAGCTTGTTTCAAGTTGACAAACTAACCAACATATCTGATGTCCTCTTCTGGCCTCTACACATGGATGTATATTTGCTTCCCATACACGTATATATACACCAGCACATGTGTTTGCACATACAAAAAATTGCCAAGTATTGCCAAGCAAGAATTTTTTTTTTTTACCCCCAGTCAGGGTTTCTCTGTGTAGTTTTAGAATCTGTTTTGGAACTAGCTCTTGTAGACGAGGCTAGTCTCGAACTCACATAGATCCGCCTGCCTCTGCCTCCTGAGTGCTGGGATTAAAGGCGTACACTACTACCGCCCAGCAACCAAGCAAGGATTTTTGCATAAGTTCGTTGTGCTAGCCAATTGTGCCATTGGGGTTCAGGATAGACTTTGGCTTTTTTGTAAGATACAGCGTGTATATACAGCCTTTCATATATTTGTGGTTATAGCAACTAGCTCTTTTCTGTAGATGAGTTAATTCTTGGATGGTTAAAATGTTTATTAGCTGTAAATGCATGTCTCGGGAAGTTTTCTGGTTTTGAGTATCTTGTTAAAGTACAATAGTAATGTAACACATGAATGTTTGTTTATGACTTAATGTTAGAAACGACTTAATGGCATATGCCATTTTCAGACATTAAGATGTTATTTGCCTTGAGAAATTAGATTCATTTGGGATTCTCAGTGTCTTTGTACATGATCCCATAGACAGACATGTATTTGAAAGCTTTTTAGCCTTTTTGGGGGGATTACTTTGTTACATCTCAGATAAGATAGTAATAAAGTGAATCTCATTGTATCACAACTTTTATAACAGTTTTAATTTTAAAATCTTTCCTTTTCTAGAAAATATTACTTTAGTTGGGTATATCATTACTGATTTGTACCTTCTCTCTCATATACTTTATTCCAAAGGTCTCTGCTAACAAGGGTGAAATTGGTGATGCCACTCCATTTAATGACGCTGTCAATGTGCAGAAGATTTCTAATCTCTTATCTGATTACGGCTACCATCTCAGAGGAAACGAGGTATACTTACTATCACAAAAGTACCTTGTTACATGTCATAGCATACAGCATGATGCAGTGTCACGAAGTAAACACATTTATAGGTCTAATACCCACATTGAGGAAAGAAATTACCCAGAATGTTTTTATGCCTTGAAAGTCCCTTTCCAGTCACTATCCCTTCCATCACAAGGTAACTACGGTCTCATTATAGGCTAGTTTTGACTTTTATGTAATAGGAGTATAGATATGGATATGCATTTTTGAACTTGTTTAATATTTAGTTATATATGGCAAAATCTGTCTGTTTTCAGGTACTCTACAATGGATTCACTGGTCGAAAAATTACATCGCAGATTTTTATTGGCCCCACTTACTACCAGCGTTTGAAGCATATGGTGGATGACAAAATTCATTCTCGAGCTAGGGGACCTATTCAGATCCTTAATAGACAGCCCATGGAGGGTAGATCTCGGTAAGATAACTGCATTGTCATCATTGTGTATTGTTTAAATAGCCTTTCACTTGAGAATGTTAACCATGTATAAAAATAGACAGTGGTATGATGACTGCCTGTGTTCCTGCCACCTCACTTTTAACAGTTACCAACTCAGGGTTTCTCTCTGTGGTCCTGTTTGTTTTGGGACTTGGATATTCGTAGACCAGGATGGCCTGCCTCCTAGAATGCTGGGATTAAAGGTGTACGAACCATGCCCAGCCTTACTGCATAATTTTTTAAAAAGCTTTATTAGTCAGGATGCAAATAAAGGCATGGTTTAAGTCCTTTTTAAATATTGCTTATTTTTAATTTTACATTTTGTGTGTGCGTGTGCGTGTGAATATGGGTGTTAGAGGACAACTTGTTGGAGTCAGTTTGCTTCTTTTCACCATGTGGATTCCAGGATTTGAACTGAATGTTCAAATCCTTTAACCACTGTCAGTTTGCTTCTTTTCACCATGTGGATTCCAGGATTTGAACTGAATGTACCTTTAACCACTGAGCCATCTCAATGGGCCTTGGCTGCCGTTGCCCTCAGACTTTTTCCTTTGAATTTTATGAGTTGAGGAATCTTGATTGTTGGTCTTGGGGAGTGCTCACAGTCTGGATGTGCTGCTTGCACCCCAGGCCTGTGACTTCCTAGTCTCTGTGAGAAGTAATTGCATTAGGAGGCTTGATGAGACTTGGGGTATGAGGTTTGGATAATAACACTTTATGGCATTATTTACTTCTAACATCAGGTAGTGACAGATCATTGTGTAAAGCCTTTGATGAACTAGAGAGTACAAACTGATGAGAGTCCATCTATTGTTAGCTATACAGATACTTCTTTGGCTGTTGCGTCAGCTGGTTGCCTTTTGGTGTAGTTCCTGTAATAGAGGCAGGGTAAATGCTCTTTTCAGTATAGTAAGTTCATTATGTCGCATTGTTTAAAGAAGAATAGCAAGCTTTTGTTCAATAGTTCTTGAGTTCACAGTGCATGTGTTATAGTAAGGAGGCCACCATTATACACTTGTGTGACCATTGAATGAATGTCACCATGCTTGGGGAAACCTGTAATCACTCACCTATTCATTGTGTTTGTCACTGTGCATTTATCATTTCTGACTCGATTGCTGGGGGATCCCTTACTGAGAAGCTGTTTTATTTAGATTGTCTTTTAAAATTCACTTTCAAGTATAGAATTGAATTCTAGAGAGTTAAATGATACCAAGATGAGCCTCTGCTTTGTACAGCTCTGTATTTGATGAGGAAAATTGTATGCTATACTTGAGCACATTTTCTCTCTACTTCATTTGGAGACATTCTGATGTATATTAAATGCTTGGTTACTTTTCCCCTCCTCACCAGGTTAGAGAGATTGCTAGGGCATAAAAATCAGAAATTAGTTCTGTACTACTACTATTACTTCACTCTTGTCATTAATCACAGAGGTGTTGATCAGAAAAGATCAGTACAGGGCTAGTGAGATGGTGCAGTGGGTAAAGATACTTGCTGCTAAGTCTACCTATGTGAGTTCAATTCTCAGAAGAGAACTGACTCCTGCAGTTTGTCCTGTAACCTCCACACATATGCAGTGACACTGGCATTTACATATATACACAGTAAATAAATAAGTACAAAACAAGCTTTTGTTTTCTTATTAACAGTGATGGTGGCCTACGTTTTGGAGAAATGGAACGAGATTGTCAGATTGCCCATGGTGCAGCACAGTTTTTAAGAGAAAGGTTGTTTGAGGCATCAGATCCCTATCAGGTCCATGTTTGTAATCTTTGTGGAATAATGGCAATTGCTAACACCAGAACTCATACATATGAATGCAGGGGCTGCCGAAACAAAACCCAGGTATGTGTATACGGTATTTTGTTTGTGTGATGTTCTTACACTGTAGTCATGGCAGATTGAGTATGGTGGGATTTTCAGTTTTGATAGCAGGTCTCTAAGATTACTAGTTTCACAAGTAAAGCTAATTTTCTTTTCTAAAACAAGCTTAAAAGCAATTTCTCTAAGCTGTTCATCTCTGAAATAATGTTTTGTACACAATTTTAAAAATATGCTTATGTGTATTTTGCCTGTATGTATGTCTGTGTACTATATGCATGCAGTGCTCAGAGGCTAGAAGAGGGCATCAGATCCCTTGCAACTGGAGTTACAGATGGTTATGACTGCTCTGTGGGTGTTGGGAATCAAACTCTGTGTAGCCTTGTAGATCAGGCTGACCTCGAACTCACAGAGATCCGCCTGCCCAGACAGTGTTCTTAACCACTGAGCATCTCTTCAGCCCAACCAAGAGTTTTTCTTAAGCTTTTTATTTCAAATTCATCAGTTAGGAAGGGCGAATATACGTTTGTTGGCAGAAAGGAGGAACTACTAAAACCTCCCGGGCGGGACAGAGGCTGAAGCACAGGGTGGATGCACACAGCCTCTCACCTTAAGTGCAGTAGGAAGTGGAGTCTGATATAGCTCTGCTGACGACAGTTTCTTTTCTCTCTGCAGATCTCTTTGGTGCGAATGCCTTATGCGTGCAAACTGTTATTCCAGGAGCTTATGTCCATGAGTATTGCACCTCGAATGATGAGTGTTTAGTTCTATTGGAAGTTCACGGCAAGACACTGTAAATATCAGTTCTTGTTTCTGTGGTGGTAGTTTTAAAAAAATGACAAAATGTACTACTGTTGTGATAAGAATTTTATTTGTTTTGTTTAAAGCTATGCATGCTTTTTTGTAAATAAACAATACATTTTTGTAGATAGTCTTGATGTGTTATCTTTCTGTGTAAAACCAGCTGGATGTAATAAAGTGTTAGTGGATTAGGTTAAAAGAAAAAAATCAGGCAAGAATAAAGGGGTTATAGTTGTCAGTTGTCTGTAAGCAGTTTTAGCTACATAGGCTGATGCATTTTGCAGGTTTATAGCTGAGCACCTTGACCTGTTTAAGAAGAAAGGAATAAAAATTAGTTACATATATGGACATAATTGGCAGATTGTCAGTTTCTAAATCAATGAAAATGTTAAATTCCGTGGCTAATGGACAGGGCATGGTAATGTGCCTGTAGACCCAGTATTCAGGCTGAGACAGGAAGAGTGTTTAAACCCAGGAGTTAAAGGCCAGCCTGGGCAACCTGGGGAGACTTCCTCCACCTGTTCTCTCATCCTCAGCTGTGTTTTTTTTTTTTTTTTTTTTTTTTTTTTTTTTTTTTTTAAGTTGTTTTAAGAAAGGGTCTCACTATACAGCTCAGGTAAATCTTGAACTCATGACTCTCCTGCCTCAGCTCAGTCTCCCAAGTGCTGGGATTACAGGCATGTGCCAGAGACCTCATCATTCAAAGAAAACCAACAAGGGCCTGCAGTTAAGAGCATTGGGTGCTCTTCCAAAGGACTTGGGTTCAATTGCCAGCACTGACAAGGCAGTTCTCAACTGGTTTTAACTCCAGTCCTGTGGGATATTATGCCCTCTCTTGGCCACTGAGGGCATTGCATGCATGTTTTACAGACAGTAAAACACCCATACCACATAAAGGGGCTCGGGGAGTCAAGAAAACAAAAGCATGGGGACAAAGATGCGTGAGTAATTATATAGTGATATGCTAGAGTGCCCTGTGGACTGTGAGTTACATGGTTCTAAATATGAAAGCCAGTGTTGCTGTACTATTCATGTGTGAATGGGGGTGGGGAGTGGGGGGGCATGGGGGACTTTCCCACAAATTTGGAAGAGCATGTTTCTCAAGTTCACATCTACAGAGGTGAAGGAACTTTGCAGTCCAGCTCATTCAGAGCACCCTTCAGGTAGAAGGGTGATGTGCCAGAGCTGAGATTTCCACAGGCTGTCAGCTGTCTCACTGCCTGGGTTTACCACACTCTCGGCGAAAAGGGATCTGACCAAAAACACTGTTCCTCGGTAATTCCTTACAGTGCACAGTGGGGTGATCTGCCCAGTGAAATGATTAATCCTGCTGACAGTAAGTTGTGTTCTTCTGGGTCTAAGGGAATGCCTCGTCAGACAGCACTCCAGTAGAGGTAGGTGTCTACATGTCAAGTGGCACTACAGTGACAAGGGAGGATGGGTTCTTGGGAGGAAGCTTTTTAGCAATGAAATAGGGCAGACTTGAGTATTTGCCAATATGTTCTCCTGTCTAGCTTTTTTCTTTTAAGGTTTATTTTTTACTTATGTATAATGTGTTTCATATGAATGTATGCCATGTATGTGTGGGTGCCTGCCTATGGAGGCCAGAAGAGAACATAGCATCCCCCCCACCCCCCCAGCTGGAGGCAATTGTGAGCCATTCCATATGGGTGCTGGGAACTGAACTCAGGTCCTCTGGAATTGCAGTACATGTATAGCTTTTCATTTCTTTTTTTCTTTTTTTCTTACCAGCTCAAAGTGAAGGACCAAATTGATCATGATCACTTCCTCTTAAATGGAGATTGAATATAATAGTCGTAACACAAGGGGAAAATGCTACATAGACAGAAGTTACAGGAAATACAAGCCACCCAGTCAAGTGTGAGTTTTGAGTCTTCTGTGTGAGATGAGGTAAAAAGCTTCTAAATCATAGTAGCCCCCAGCCATCCACATGTTCTCTTTGGAGGCACGTGACCTGGTTTTGATTACATATACTTAACACCTTTCTGGACTAATAGTTACATATGCTACTTTGATACTTGACTATTAAACAAAAACCCACTCATTTTTAAATGGTGAGACGACTTAACATACCTTTTTTCACTGGTATTTCATGTAAGGCATCAACCACTGCGATCTTGGCTGATGCTGAAGCCTCTCCTTGGGAGTTGGATGCATGGCACTCATATTCTCCAGCATCTTCCTTGCTTAAAGGAGATACCTGTGAAAGATAAAGGCACTTTAGTTCTCTGTGGAGGTCTCCTCCCTTTTTCAGTGGCTTCCATTACACTTAGGGTCCCTAGGATGAACAGAGAGTTAGGAGTGGAGCCTCTATGAGAAGCAGTGAAGTTCTGTGCCTGGAGCCTGTGGAGCTGCCATACCCAAACATCATGGATGGCTTTTGATCACAATGTGAGAGTTAAAATCTGGATAGTGCACATAGCCTGTTGGAGGGGAACCCATGCTGGGCACTAGGATCTGAGTAATACCCACAGGATCAAAGGTTAAGTAAAATCACATGTTCGTTAACCAATAGCCATAATTAGTGCTTGAGCCATTTACTTCTGTGTGAGAATTCTGTTTTGAACTTAGGCAAACAGAATTCTCTTAATTCTTATTTTTTCTAAAACAAAGTAACTTCAGCTCCTCCATTAGTTCCCATATTTGTATTGGCAATACCATGCCAGAGATGCCCCAAAGAAATGGGAGAAAAATAGTTTTGGGCAGGTGACTTTTGCCAAGTCCACTCCTGAGAACGAAACTGTTGCCAACTCTTGGTACTCACCAGCACCCAGCCAGTCACCTCATGCTTTTCTGGACCACCCCGGGTCTGAATAGCCAGGTTTTCCCGGTCACCAGGCAAGAGTTCTGTCCTTTGAACTCCGGAGTGGTCCCTTTTTACCTGAGAAAACAGAAGGAGAGACTTACTTCTCTGTACAAAAACAAGTTGGAAATGCCACATCCCTAGGATTTTACAAGGTGCCCACCAGACTGTAGATTACATCCAGCAATTTACTCAGACCTTTCCTTTCCTGAATAACTTAGGCAATAGAGGTGTTTCTTCCTGCCAGTTTTACCTTAGCAGTGTGATTTTTTTGTTTTATTTTGAGATGGTCTCACTATGTAGCTTCGGCTGGCCTGGAACTCATGTAGAACAGGGGAGTCTGCCTCTGTCTCCCAAGTGCTGGGATTAATAATATGTACCAGCATACCTGGCTGCTGTCTATCTATCTATCTATCTATCTATCTATCTATCTATCTAGTTTTTTGAGACAGGGTTTCTTGGTGTAACCACCCTGGCTTTCCTGGAACTCACTCTGTAGACCATGCTGGCCTGGAATTCACAAAGGTCTGCCTGCCTCTGCTTCCTGAGTGCTGGGCCTAAAGGTGTGCGCCACCAGCGCCCAGCCACACCCAGATTTTAAGCATCATGTTTTAAGCTTTTTCTGGAGTAAGAATGGTCAACCTGCTGCAGGCTATCTCACTCACTAGTGCCCTTAGACAGTTTGCTCTTTGGTACACTAGGCCTTTTTTTTTTTTTTTTTTTTTTTTTTTTAAATGTGCTATGTTTGACTGGTAAGTTGTCACCCAGTGCTAGTTTGATGTTTGGGACCTGGGGGCTCTTCCTGTAATAACCTCATCAAAGAAATGCAGCAGCTGGAGTCCAGAGTTGACCACTTGGTCTGAGGGCTAAGGAATCATGAAACAATTCCTGAAGACCTGAGGGTCAGAAATGCCTGTCGTATGTTGCTGTGATAAAACCTGCCTGTCTCTGTTCATACCACGGTGAGATCCAGAAGGCTGTGGGTGAAGGGGAAACACACTTCCCTTGGTTTGTGGCCAGTCCTTACTTCATGCCCATCCTTTCCTACCTATCTTAAAGGTCAAACCATGCTAATAAGAATTTTGGAAAATATGGAAAGAACACAAGGAAAAGGCCCTTTTTTTTGGGGGGGGGATGCATTTAGCAGCTCAGGTTAATATAAATATTTTAAGGCTTGTAGTAACTGAATTAAAAAGTAAAACTACACAAAGCAATAAAAAATAGAATTCTTTAATTCTATCTAGGCCTCTTTAGGAGCCAAGCCAGTGTTTATTTTGATTGTCTTTGTAATGAGAAGGACATATAGTGTCAAGTGTCCTTCCCTTTCTATAACAAAGTGAATGTTCATCTTATTTTAGGCTTTTCCCTGTTCCCCCCAATACTGAGAGAAAACAGGGTATTTAGTATCTTGAATGAAAGCTATGAAGACATGCATAAATAGACATTTTTCTTTGAATTTTCCAAGCAGCTGGTGAAACAGTTTATGTTAATAAAATAGGTAATATTTGGGGAGAGGTATTTTATCACCAAAGCCTACAATCTCAGTACAGGGTAGGCAGAGACTGGAAGGTCTCTGCGGCTAGCTGCCTATCCAGTTTAGCTCACAGTAAGCTCTAGGTCAAAAAGGGTGGAGATCAATTGAGGGAGATGATGATGTCACCCTTTTCACCCCCCCCAGGGGGGGTCTAATGATAAAAAGAATCTTATAAGGGCACACGCCTTTAATCCCAGCACTGGGGGGGGGGTAGAGGCAGGAGGATCTCTGTGAGTTCAAGGCCAGCCTGGTCTCCAGAGTGCCAGGATAGGCTCCAAAGCTACACTGAATCCCTGTCTTGAAAAACCAAAAAAAAAAAAAAAATCCTGTTATCCATCCACAAATGGTCGACTGTGGGAGAATCAGAGGGAGACCATGAAGTCATTTTGGCATCTAGCTGTTTTATTTTAATCTGTTTTTTAGGATCTCTTGATATATAGCTCAGGCTGGCTTCAAACTCACCATCTTCCTCCTGCCCCACTCTTCCCAGTACATACTTCATGACACCTGACTCTGAGTGTAGTTTGATTACAACAGATTCTCCAGAATCTTGTTATTGTAAATAGGAACAAATTTTAAAAAGTGCCAATGACTACGAAACTCTACACATCTTTGAATGCAGTTTCTTGTTAGCACTATTATTTTAAATCTCATTAATGTACAACACACATGTGAGTTTGGATACCCTTGGAGGCCAGAAGAAGGCTTTGGATCTCTCAGAGTTGGAGGCAGAGGCAGTTGTGAGCTGCCTGATGTGGGTGCTGGGGCCAGACTGATGTCAAGCCCACAATGCTTCATTCTCATCCACTGTTTCTGCTCAGACTGCTGGGATTATAGGCGTTTGTCATCGTGCTTGTCCAGCCTCTAATAATCTCTTTCATCCAAACTCTGTTTCTGTTCTTAAAGCAGATTTGAAACAGCATGTGATCTGAAATATGTCTGTATTCCTAACAGTCTAGTTGCAGGATTGTGGAGAGGAAACAATTGGCCTATGTAACTATCTGGGACAGTGACTTTTGAGATATTTTGCTATGGCTCAGACAAAGCAATGCTTTTTAGAGTATGTTGGGATTATATTCATATATATTATATATGAAACTGTTAGAGATAGGATACCTTAGTAATTCATGAACGTGATATTTTGACACATTTTGAGTTCTAGTTTTTATTTCCTATGAGAACACTGGTAGCAATCCCTGTTAGTTCCAGATCTCCTTGATGGGTTGTGTGCTGCCATTTGAAGCCCATTGCTTTAGGTCATGTGTGAGGCACAGCACATTGCCAAGGGGGAGGAAAACTGGAGCATTCCACTTTGGTATTTGCTCCTTGCTACTTATCAAAGAAACATTTTATTTTTTTAAAGACATGTGCTTCTGAGCCCAGGCTGACCTTAAATTTAAGTAGCTGAACTTCTGACTATCTTTCTGCCTTTACCTCCTGAGAGCTGGGATTACAAACCATGTGCCACCGTGTCCTGTTTGTCATGCTGGGGATCCAACCCAGGGCCTCACACATGCTAGGTAAGCACTTTTCCTACTGGCTATGGTTCCTCCCACAGAGGATGTAGCTTAGAGCCCTGCCTAGCACATGCTAGGCCCTAAGTTCAACCCCCAACATCACAAAAATAAACCCAAGAACTGAACTAAATTACCCCCCCCTTTTTTTTTTTCCAGTTTCCCCTCTCCAAACCCTAGTTCCCCACCTCAATGATGGGTGGTCCTGGGAGGACCTGCCTATACAGGCAACAAAATTCCAAAGTCTCCCAAGGCTCATTCCCTGGAATGGTGTGTATTTTGACGGGGTGCTACAGAGTCAAGACTTAAGGAAGACCTAACTCGGCAAGATTTGGCAATAAGGCTATACTCAAGGCCCTTGAATCACCCTGGCCGCTCTCATTTGATAAATTCCTTGGGGACCCATAGAGAAACAACAGAGCCTCTTACCAGTTTCCCTTGGAAGCTGTTGGCCACCCTCCTCCTAAGTCCCTGACCTCAAAAAAGGATCGGGAGCTTCAACTTAGAGGGGGAAAGGCCTAGATGAACACATTCTCCCGACCACATTGCTGCTTTGATAACCCTCCGCGTTTCTTTCCAAGGCACAATTTACAAACGCAAAATCCCATTATCCCCTTTAAAGGAAGTTTCAGCTGTACTAGAACTGGGTCATCAGCCTGTACTGGAACTGGGTCACCTCTGCCTAAACCATGGTCCAGGCCTTTCCTGGGAACTACATTCAAGCCCGGTGGTTTCCAAGTGGCCGCATCCCTCTGGCCACATGGGGGCGCCAGAGGCTGCCAGGAGCTCTGATAGGGTCTAAGGCTTCTCACCCTGCCTCTGAGGTCTTTAAACTGTGATAATTCCTCCTGCGGAGGAGGACTCTTTCTAAGGAGAAAGTGAGGCCAACAGACTGAGAACAGAGATCAAGAATTCCAGCCCTGATCCCATTTGGATGTCGGGAAGCTGGAATTGCCTTATTTTTCTTTTCTTTTTATTTTCGCCCCTCAGCTATATAAACTGAATTCTACAACCTCTGTTACAGAGAGACTTCTGAAGACAGGGCCAAAACCCCCCTCCCAGAGTCCCAGAACTGCCCCTCTGACCAAACAACAAACACACAAAATAATTGAGACAATCATCCATTTTTGAACTTGCTGAAGACACACAATCAGGCTAAAAAGGGGGGTGTCTGGCTTTGCTGTTTTGCTTAAACTAATTTTCCCTCTTTATCACGAGTTTGAAGATTTTTCTTTATAGACTTGGTATGAGGTGGAAGGACTTAAAATATACAAAAGGGACAGAGATGTAAATGCACGGTCTAACTGTGAGGTATTTTTTTTTTTTTTAATTTTAATCTGGAAGATTGGTTTTGTTTTCCCTTCTACTGACAGGCTAAAATATGTTGACCTTCAGACATGAAGGTCATTACACAAGAAAAAAACCATTGGAAGGGCAGGACTTCCAGAAAGAGTAGCCACTGAATGCCATGTCTCTGGCATTGAGCCACGTGACTCTACCTGATTTATTTAATCTCTTTTTATAAGATGCATTAACTTTTATTTTATATATGAGTGTTTTTTTCTGCAGGTAGGAATGGACAGCATATGTATGTGGAGTTCAGAAGAAGGGTCCCCTAGAGTTATGAATGGTTGTGATCCACCAGCTAGATGTTAGGAATGGAACCTAGGTCCTCTGCAAGAGAAATAACATGTGCTTTTAGCTGCCTGGCTCTCTCTCTAGATCTCAATTATTTAATGTTTACCTTTACCTGGGGGTGGTGGTGAATGCCTATAATCTGAGTACTTGGAAAATGGAGGCATAAGATTCATTAGGAGTTCAAGATCATCATCAGGCATACAGTAAATCTGAGGCCAGTATGGGCTGTATATGAGGTCCTGTCTCAAAAATAAAACTTTGAATAATTATCTACAACGTGTTACACACAGAAGAACAAGCTGAGGCTTATGGCAGCGGTTTTCATTCTGAGGTGATGCTTTTCCCTCACAGGGCATTTGGCAATGTGAAAAGACACTTCTTTTTTTCTTTTGAGACAGGGTTTCTCTGTGTAACCACTCTGGCTGTCCTGGAACTTGCTCTGTAGACCAGGCTGGCTTTGAACTCACAGAGATCCTCCTGCCTCTGCCTACCAAGTGCTGGTGTTAAAGCCTGCACTACTGACCTTGTTCCAGATGAGGACTGGGGTTGGAATTCCGATGACTTCACAGCTCAAGTACACCTTGGCGCCAGTGACATTCCAGATGTCCTTGGGGGGCGTCACTATGGAAGGACCTACAAGAGAAGCGAGAAAGCCAAGTTCATCTTTCAGCAGCTCAGCCTCAGTCAGTATCCTAGGATGTAAATACTTGGTTATGAGGCCCTCCCCCTCTGCAGATTATGTGACGTGCATCTCCACGGCCAGACTAACAGGCTTCTTCCTGTCGCCAGTGTGACATTACACTCTTCTTAGGGAATGCAAGGACTGAAATAAGCAAACCAGCAAACACAACAACAAACACAATTAGTAAGAAAAATCTGTTGTTAACAAAATTGTCTTCTTTTCCCTAGCCCAGCTTAAATGAGTTTTATTTTACCAGCTGTTTTGCATTAGCTGGGCTTTTTTCCATTAACACTGAAATTTTCAGTTCTGAAGTACATAGTGTTTCCCTTCCTTTGTTTCCCAGCGTCTTTGCTGGGAGGATAGTGCTAACAAACAACTACTCCTTGTAAAACAAAAGAGAAAAAAATCTAAGAGGCCATTTGAAAAATCAGAGAGCACCCAGGCAATCTTGTTTGTGTAAGATTCAAGGGGGCTGTCCTGGGAACTGGGAGGTACAGCAGGGTCCTGGGGGTGGGGTCAAAGAAGGTGGTGAGAGGGTCCTGCTGCTAGTGGAGAAGGCAGATGCTCAAAAGAGTGGCCACCTTCTGTTGGGACCACACCTCCTAAGAGAGGTCGCAGGAGGGGACCAGTTCTGGGTTCTCAGTGCCTGGGTTCCCAGCAGGGAGCATTGGTAAAGAGGAGGGTACCCCTTGCAGCATGTGCTCAAGAGAGTGAGCAGGTCTAGGCTAGTCAAGAGAGAACAGGTGATACCTCCCCACCCTCTGAATTCAGGACCACAGTACTTACCCTTTCTACCCCAGCTCCTGTGAGTAAAAGGCCCTTCCTCAGGATCAACCTGTGGAGGGCATCCTTTGCTTGTATGGCTCTCTGTTCCTAGAGTTATTAAACTAGGGCCCATGAGCCAAATTTGGCTTCCTAGTTATTCTCTGCATGGCCTCCAAGCAAAGAATAATCAGTTCAAATGTCTGGGGCAAATTAGAAGAAGGATACTATTTCATGGATAATGTCAAAACTGGAATAAACTCACGTTAAATGTTCATAAATGTTACCAGAATTGCCTCATCCACTTGTCCAGAGTGTCTCTAGCTGCTTTTATGTTAGCCAGGCAGGATCAAGTGGTTTGTATTCCAGACTGTGTGGCCTAAATATTGGCAATCTGGGTCTTTATGGGAGGAATTTGCTGATTCCTGCTTTAACCAATGGGAGAAAGAGACTAATGTGTAAACAAGAATCATGAGAAAGCCTCAGAACTGCAATCCTCCACAGTTTCTCTCCACAGCCAATACAAGCAACTCACACTAGCTGATTTCTGGTTTGGCCCTGAAACTCCCATTTCTGAAGTCAACAGATATGGAAAGAGTGGTGGCCTCACTTACTGTTCCTTCCCCTGAGGGGCCAGCTTGCTAATACTGTGGCAGGAAAGGCTTCACACCTACCCTTAATTAAATTGCTCTAAAATTTTAATTTTAAAAGTTACATTTATTTATTTTGGGTGAGTATATTTACCCACACAAGGTAGAGGTGGACTTTGAGTGTCTTCCTCTATTTTTATTTATTTACTTTTTACATTTTATTTTATATGCACTGGTGTTTTTGCCATAGGTGTTGGGGCCCCTGGAACTGGAATTATAGACAGTTGTGAACTGCCATGTGGGTGCTGGGAATTGAACCCGGGTCCTCTGGAAAAACAGTCAGTGCTCCTAACCGCTGAACCATCTCTCCAGCCCTTATTTTAGTGAACTTGAAGCTCACCAGCTGGCTAGATTTGTTGGCCAGTGAGCTCTGAGGATCTGTCTGTCCGTCTCTGACTGACTGGTGTTAACAGCTGCACACCAGGACATTAGAATTATGGGTGACAGAGATCTCAATTTTGGCCTTCATGCTTGTGCAGCAGGCACCTGACCACGGGGCCATCTCTCCAGCCCACACTCTTACTTTGTAGTAGAGCAATTGCTATTTCCCATCTACTAACCCTGAATGCCAGATTTCAGCCACCAGGGCCCTTCAGAGAGATTTGGGACATTGCATCATGGAGGGACATAGAGCTGGGAGCCTGGGTTCCCATAGAGGGACACTACACCCATGTAGAGCTAGATTCTGCCTTTCTGGATGTTTTGCCCTATTTCTGGAATGGGTAAGTTAATTATTTCCTCTGTCCGGGGTCTTTAAGCCTAGTTAAATATCTAACTACAGGGTCATCTTGCCCTGGGGGCCTGGGAAAGGCACAACCTTCTCCTCTTGGCCTGGAAAGCATTCTTGCACAATCAGCACTCACAGGACATGGAGGCTCCCCTTCCAACATCTATTTCCAGTACATACTAATGTCCTGAAACAGCAAGGACATGACCCCAGTATGCAAGATTTTCCCACTCAAGGATTAGATGCTTTTTTTTTTTTTTAAATCTCTTGAGATATTTTTTATTACTTTATCCTTTGTAAGAATGTGCCAAACAAGAAGAGGAGGGGGAACTGGGATTGGAATGTAAAAATTAAGTTAATAAATTTTAAAAAGTATGCCAAACAATTAGTTTCGAAAGCTCTAAATATATTTCATGTTTCCTTCTCTACAATTGTGGGCCCCAGTAGGAAGTATACACCTTGGCTGGTAGTACTGGCTTTTTTTATAGCAAAGGGGGAGCACGGCAACAGTGCTTGGCTGTGTTTATATGTATGTTTCTGGCCTTGTCTCGGACATTTCCTAGTCTGAATGCCCAGTTATAGAACGTGGGACTCACCCTCTCCCTGACTTCCTCTGGGCTTCTGAGACCCCCAAGGCTTAGACATAACCGGATCTGGCTGGCCTTTGAACTCCTTTCTCCCACCTCTATGAGCGCCCCCTGCTGCTCTGTCCTTCCCACACAGGCTGAGATTGTTCTGGGAATATTATGCTGGAATGCCAGGCTCTGAGGAGCTTGGGGGATTGGGGAAAAGCTGCTGCTTCTGCAGCAAAGCCTCATGTGAATGGTTCTATTGTGAGGATCTGAGTGTCCGAGTTCCACAACCTGTACTCATCTTCCCAGAGTCACTGATGGGAACACCAGCCTCCATTAGGAGGAACAACGCCAGCACAGTATTCTGTCTGGAGCCCAGCAGACACTCATCTTCCCAGAGTCACTGATGGGAACACCAGCCTCCATTAGGAGGAGGAACAACGCCAGCACAGTATTCTGTCTGGAGCCCAGCAGATAGGACAAAGACCTCCCTCACAGTCTTCAAGTCGTTGTTCTTAATCTTGTTTTTTATTTTTTTATTTTTTTTAAAGACATGCTCTCCCTTATGTAGCCCAGGTTGGCCTGGAACTCATTATCCTTCTACCTCAGTCTTTTGAATGTTATAGGAGCTCCATGTCTGAGCTTCATTTTAAGATGATTTACTGTAGCAAGGTTTTCTTTTGTCCATGTCTGAGCTTCATTTTAAGATGATTTACTGTAGCAAGGTTTTCTTTGTTTTTCTTTTGTTTTTTTTTAACATGGCTTCTCTGTGTAGCCTTGGCTGTCCTAGAACTCCCTCTATAGACCCAGCTGGCCTTGAACTCACAGAGACCTGCCTGCCTCTGCTTCCTGAGTGCTGTGATTAAAGGTATGCCCCATCACACCTGGCTGATGCATTGCAGTTTTTGAGTCAAGTTAACTATACTTGAGCCTAATAGTATAAAGAGCCCCATTCTCTTCCATAAACTTTGGATGTATGTTCTCTATAAGTAGGTTTTTGTTTAATCTTGAACTAATTTTTGCCTATGTTATGATATACATGTCCTTTCCCCAAAGGCCATCTGATTGCTTCAGCACCATGTTGAGAAGACCAGATTTATGCTACTGAATCATTAGCTCTCTGGTCTATCCATTAGCCATACACGTATAGGTCTGCATCTGGACTCTCTAATCTGTTCCACCAGTCTGTCTGACCTTATACTTTTAACAGTGGTATACTTCAGAAACCCATTATGCTAAAATTGAAGGCAGGGCAGGATTACTACAGTGATCACCTTCTAGTTCTCTTACTTTTCTAAGAAATAGAGCCTTCCTGGTGAAACCAGAGTTCATTAAAACCACCTGAGCTCAGGAACTTCCTAAATCAAAGCCATCACCAGGGGGTTCACAAGTAGGGAAAACTATGTGGTGAGCTCCCCTTGAAATACATAAAAAACTTGAGTGAGTGGAGTCTACATGTAGATTATTTAAAAACATAAATGATTTGTTCATTTTCCTACTAGGCTCTATCTAAAATTCTACAAGTTCTAGATAATAAAAGTTGAGATCATTCCTGACATGGGAGTTGGGGGGTGATGGCTGTTAGCATCAGTTCCTGGCTAACACTGACAAAAAACCCTGGTCATTGCAAATGACCTTGTTGGACCAAGGCTGGACTCAGTAAGAGTTTCAAGTGTTTTTTTTTTTTTCTTTTTTTCTTTTTCTTTTTCTTCGTGGCCTCGAACTCACAGAGATCCGCCTGTCTCTGCCTCCTGAGTGCTGGGATTAAAGGCATGGGCCACCAACGCCTGGTGCCTCAGTAAGAGTTTTAACCCACAGCATCTACATTGAAAAACACCCAACCCTACAAAATGGCTTTCCGACTCCACATGTACTGTTTTACACAGGAAAACCCTACCAATTGATGATTAAGTAATGAAGTAATCAACAGACCTCATAGTAGGTGGGGGCAGGTTGTTCCCATCTGTATTGGTAGAATCAATGGGTGTTTAGAATTCTTCCCATTAACATTGTTCAGAGCTGATACCTGGATCTGTCTACCTATCAGGCTGCCTAGATCTTTGCTGTTTCTTGTTCTGGGAACTTACTGGAATAAGCAGAGGAAGTGAAGAAACATATCTCATTCCCTACCCCAATAATGGAGACTGAACTCTCACACATGTTAGGCAAGCACTCTTCTACTGGGCTGTATCTGTAGACACTGTTGAACTTTTTATTTTGAGACAGGGTTGGTAAGTATTGGGTCTCTGGTTATTGGGTATGCTCCACTAATGCAATAAGCCAAATCCAACTGAATTAATAAATCCAGATTTAATAAACAGAAAAGCAGAGCAAAGCAACACCTGGGTGACTCTTGGGAAAGCAGAAGAGAGATCACGTGGCAGGTCTAGTGACCAGGTCTTAAATACCCTGTAGGTGTGATCTTGAATAGCTCTGGCAGAGGAACTGACCCTTGGTGGGCTTTCTGAGGGGCTGGGTCAGGAATGGGAAGAGTCAGACCCGAGCAGAAATTCCTAACAAAGGTCTAATTAAGATGTCTAGACTGGCCTCAAACTCACTGTGTAACCCAGGCATGCTTTGAATTTGGGATCCTCCTGCCTCAACCTCTTCCATATCTGGGATTGAAGACCTGCACTACAAGGGTGATCTGGGCAATTCCTGGTAAAGTCAGAGTTAGACTGTAGGAAGATGAGTATGGCAGTGAGAAGAAACATGGGAAACACTTAATGCTGACCCAGGGACACCAGCAGGCAAGTCTTGTGTGGAAGAAGTTGACACAGAACTACTGGCTGATGTGACAGCCCCTCCCCCAAGGCAGAAAGGCCCTGGCTGCACACCTTCCACTGGAAAGCAGCACCACTTCCAACAATCATCTACTACTTGTGTATTCCAGCGTGCAAATCCAGAAGGTTCTGTTCTGCTTAAGCTCAAGGACTCTTTACAGATCACTCCTCTTTCCACTCTATCTTTCTTCCAAGAAAGCCAAAGAGAAGCCAGAATTTATTTCTCTCTCTAAGGATAAAGACACAGGAAGGAAGGAAAAAAGGAAGAAAGGAGATTTCAGTTCATCCTGAGCTGATTTTCTGACGTAAAATTCTCGAAATCAGTTCTCAAGGCCAGTTCATGAGTCATGATATTGACGTTTAAGTCATCCTCTATGTCTGGATTCCAACTAAAAAAGAAAATCCCAGATTTTTTCAATGCATGGGGACAAACCCGAGATAAATGTAATTATTTATGCATCCAAATTCTTGTTCCATTTGGGATTTCAGGGTGGTAAACATATGTCTAGCAAACATCCTGTCTATAGGACTGACTGTCCACTGCTCCTCTTTCCTTACTCACCCAGGCAACTCCAGAAAAGAGTAAGGTGCCACAGTGCTGCCAC